TCTCTCATTCTCTCTCTCTCAAATAAATAAATAAAATCTTTAAAAAAAATGTTTTTTAAACCCAGTTATTTCACTTGATTTGCTAGCTTCAGGGAAGAGATCCGACTTTGTGACCAGCGCTGAAGGTTCCATGTTAGTATGGCTTGTGCCAGCCGCTGTGCCGTATTCTTGCTGGAGATGAACCCTAGCACCGGAGCCCATCCTTCCTTGTCAGTCGTGACCCAAAGATGTCATCATTGCTAGTTATTTGTCACCACGTAATTGGTGTTGATTGGAAACTTTCCCTGAAATGGGGCAGAACTGCTTGGTTGCTTCCAGGTAACTTAAGCATAGTAATATAAATAAAGTAATAGTTGGGGGAAAAAAAAAGAGTTGGTCACCCAACTCTTTTTAGAGCCACAGCAAACAGGGCTGGAAAAGGCAGGCAAGCCATAAACAGTAAACGCTAACTCAGAAAGATCTCCGGGCCCCTCCTACATGCTCGGTGCCAATGCTACAGATCTGCACTGCTTATTTCTCTAGGACAACCATGTAAGGCGGATATAATACCTCTCTTTTACAGATGACAAAACTGAGATGTAGAGAGCTTAAGTAACTTTGTTAAAGTCCCACAGCTGGTAGGTACTGGAAGCAGGATTTGAACATGCTTCTCTTCTCCTAGCTGGGGCTCTTTCCACAACATCATGCTGTTGCCCATAAATTTTACCTTCATCCGTAGGTGGGTATGTTGCACCTGTGCCCCTGGGACAGGAAGAGGCCTCCAGACCCCCCGAGTCCTAGCCTGGGAAGCCCCATCAAGTTCAAGATCAGGTGCGGGGGGGACACAGAACCCTCAATTTGGGGACAGGCGTTAGCTCGGCGACTTGTCTTGTTGGGCTTCTCTTCAGGGAGAGCAACAGACATCTCATCCCAGAGGAGGACACCTCGCGGGAGCATCGCTGCCTGGCTCTCCTCCTTCTATAGTTCCTTGTGCTCCCAAATAGCCACGCACCTCCTTCCAGGACCAGCTGCTAGACTAAGAAGAAGTCGTTTATGTCCACATAGTTCATATGGTCCAGCCTGTTTCTCAAATGCACGTTCCTGGTGCTGAAGTGACTAACCTTAAAGCAGAACTGTCTGCATGATTTTCACATGAGAGAGCTTCAAGTTCTGCTACCTGAGCATTCTGAGGGGCGGTCTCCTCCTGTGTAAAGCGGAGACCACGTCACACTCCTACAGACCAAGATGGTGTCCTGTCGCTCTCTGTGGGAGTCTCTGCCTTCCAGCCCTGCCACCGTCAAGTGCTTCCTCCCTTGGGAATACGTCTTTCTCTACACGTATCTGCCCCCTTTCGCACGTCCCTAACCTGCACCCTCCTCCCCTGGCTATTCCTACACACCTTTCAGGTCTCCGTGTAAACATCACAGTTCCAGAAAGGCTTCGCAGACTCCCCGTTCCCCATCAGGGTCCGGTCCCCTGTTGCGTGCTTTGCAGAATCTTGTGTCACCCTGAATCGCATCTTATTTGTCCACTAGGTCAGGGGTCCAAAACCCACTGCCTGCGGGCCAAGTCAGTCCACAGCCTGTTTTTGTAAATAAAGTTTTACTGGAACACAGCCGTGTCCATTCACTGATGAGTCATCGACGGCTGCTTTCAGGCTGCAACAGCAGAACAGAGTAGTTGTAACGTAGACTGCGTAGCCCACAAAGCCTACGATATTTATAATCTGGCACTCGACAGAAAAATGTTGCTGACTCCTGGTCTAGACTGCAAGATTTCTGAAGAGAGCGTCATGTATCCCCAAGGGCTACCACAGAGGCTTACTCAAAGAGTGCTCATTCCATATTTGAGGAATGAATAAGTGAACACAAGCACAAAGACAATCACACTGAAAAGCCAAGGAATGGACTCTGATAGTCTCAAAGAAGAAAAAAAGTGCACATTCTACATACAACTGATTGTTTATTGAGAACTAATTTCAAAACCTGAAGCCTAACTTTAAACCCAAATCTCCTGAAATAAAATGGTATTAAAATACTTTTCATTTACTCCAAAACCACTTCAGGCTCCTGAAATTTTAATCCATTGTCCAGTACTGTACCCTGTAAGGTGAAACAGCCTTTGTCCTTAGGATGTCTTGTCCTTATAGAGCAGCATGGATTTTAGAGAGGTAACCCTAGCTGCCATGCACTGAATTTAATTTCTTACTCACAAAAAAATGGCATCGGGGTATCAAGTCCCTTTTTTTTTTAAACCTATTCTCATTGAGGAAATTCCTACTCAGTTGTCTTACTTTTGAGTTCTGCAGGGCCCCTCTCCACCAGCCCGATTCCTAAGTGTCTTGCCCCGAAGAGTGAGCCACATGGGACTCACAAAACCGTAAATAGAGGGAATGAGTAGACACATTAGCTATGACATACTGTGGAAATCCTGATACTGAGTGGTGAGCTGCCACCAACTGGAGGACCTGGAGAAAGAGAACCTTCTCTTTCACATAGATCTTTCTATCTCAAAGAGAGAACACAAATAAACAATTGGTTCCTTTTATCAGGCACTGCAAGTACTGGGAAAATGGTCTGTCTTGTGTGAGGAAGGAGATTGAAGATGCACATATAAATCACACAACTAAGTCCCTGCCCACCTCTCAGACGACAAGCATGTCAGGCTGTAATGGCAGGCCTCATGTGGGCATATGAGTTGGTGTGTGGGTACCTCGGGGAAGAACCATGGAGAGGCTTAATATTCTGAATAGAAATGAACAGCCTGACAATGGGCAAGACAGTTCATTCCAAGTTTTGCCTAAAGGCCTAAATTAAGTGTGTTCTGTTAGTTACCATGCCACTTGATAAAAAAAGAAAAAAAAACAAACAAACCATCCCACAGATCCCAAGAGGAGAGGCACGTTAGGTTACAGATACATCAATGACATGAGAAATGAAAGTGCATCCAAAGAAGCCTTTGATGCCAGAACTGAAATACGAACATAGCCTGAGAATGATGTCAAGTCAGCACTGAAAATTAAATCTGATCTCACATGATTGCTCTACTCAGTTTTTGATAGAATTTTCTTTTAAGTGCCACCCTGTAAGTCATCTCTCTTCTTCCCCTTTGCACCCCCCCCTCCTCCCAAAGAAGAAAAAAAAGCAGGAAACAGGGAGGAATCCAACTGCATCACCTTCCCAAACAGTGATGATTAAGGGAAGCCTCCGTGCACTGCAGAGCCGGATGGAGATGCAGAGGGCTGCTCCGGGTGCGCACACATCAGTGCATCGATGGGCTGATAAAAACCTGGAATAATCACCCGAAATGTGTTTATTATGGCTCAGGGTGCTCATTCGACTTTGCACAAAGGGCTTTCATTGTGTCACAGATTGAAGGGTACAAGATAGCCGCAAAAGCAGTTCAGTACATCTGCGGGTTATTTATACACAACCGAGGTTAATTAGGTAACTTCCACATACCCTGTATTTCACCAATCAACACAAAATCAGGAGGGAAAAGCTCAGGTAACTCAAGGTATTTTCATGTAAAGAATGTTTCCTGTTAGAAAATCTAATTCAGCAACAAAGAATATTTATAAATATACTCTTCTAACCATGTGGGTTTTGCATATTCTCAAGTCCCCTGGATTCGTGGAAGCATTCAGAAAAATAAAATTATCTTCTTAGTAGCCATCGATGTAGACTCTTCACAACTCAGCAAATTAGAAATTTATCTTGAGGAAGTTAACATCATCATCTCCCAAATTTAAGAAATAGTATTTGGCAACCAGATGTAAAGTGAAGCCTAGGGGAAGCTGTCTGAACCGGGGAGGAGGGCATTCTCATAGTATAAAAAGACATCCCAGAACCAGAAATATCTTGGCCTAGACAGGATCCTAATGGGTTTTTTTTTTCTTTCAGTTACAAACTGATCACATTGCTCCAAAAGCAGATATAGTTAACATATAATCTTGTAAGCTTGCTTAAGGATAGAGGCAGCTTGCTAATGTCACTGGAAATCAAAGGTTAAATGGAAATTTCAGGCCATTAGGGAAACTACATTCTTCTAAAACAAGAGCAATCTTATTGTTGGCTTCTCCCATAGTAACCCAAGTATTAGGACCAAGAATGTTCCATGACTCATGGCTTTATTTGAAAGCAAATACAGTCAAATTCATCACATTCTTGACCTGCAGTTATGATGCGATGTAGCAAAAAAGGAAAACGACCCATTCCATTATTTAAAAATAGAAATCCCTTCTGGAAAATGCTTTTCTAGGAGCTCAGAATAGACCTAACAAGGAGCAAAAAGTAAAAATATGCGGAAAGTGATGTACAAGCGAATCCTCCAGGTGGCGCTCTAACAGAAATGGACGCTTCTTCCCCAGCTGCCCAGCTAGGTCTCATGCGGCACGGCAGAGGGGCTCCCTCAGGGTAGGGGTGGGCGGCAACCCTCCCTGGTGCCCCTCACCGCTCCCATGGCAGGAAACAGGGAGGAATCCAACTGCATGGCCAGCAAAGCAGTCATTTGCCGATGGTATTTTTCAAGTTGGTCAATAATGATATTATTAAAGACTTTTATAGGCCAAATTGGGAGCCAAATGCCAATTTTCTGTCTCCTCTGCAAGGTGGCCCTTTTACACCTCAATTACCGAGTCCTGAATTAGGATCCGACACTGACCCAAAGGAAAGATTTCCACATCCTAAATCCCCTCTGCTCCTGTTCTGGAATCTTCTTCCACTCTACCAAGGGCAACAAAGCTCCCTGGGAGAGAGAGAAGAACTGCATAGCACTGCTGCTAGCACTATGTGAATGAGAAAGCGTGAGGTTTGGACACACTTGTTGCCGTTTTTTCAGTAAGGGAGAGAAATTATTTGTGCTTTGGGAAAAATCTGACTCATAATGTCCGGCTTCAAAACTCCAGAGATTACTAAAGAGATGATGGGGATGGAAGTTGGCCAGGCAAAGGCTCAAATGGAGGAAGGACCCTGCTATAGATCAGGGTGACATAGCAGAGTGTTTGGATGCACATGCAGATGTTATGCGGACAGAGCATTCCAGTGGTAAGTGACATAGATTAGCACTATAAAGAGAATATGGACAAGACAGAAGCTTATAAGGTCCCTGGAGCGGAGGGCAGAGGTTGGTTGTGGGGGTTTCTCCCCAAGTGCCAGGAGAGTGTCAACAGTCTTTCGAACGTGACGAAAGTCCGAATGCAGGATGTCATACGAAGAGCAGAGGTCGGCCTATTCCGTGGGCAGCCATTAGAACAGAAAGAGACAGTGCATACAATTAAAAATACACGCATTTCTGGTTACTAGCAAATGGCAAGAGTAACCCCTTATTTCAAGCAGGTAAAAACCCACTCCACCATCAAAGATTTTTTTTTAATCCATTACAAAAGAAAAGTAGCATACCCAACGTGTTTTGCAAACAGTGCAAAAAAATCCTCCACGCACAATGCCACTACTAAGGAATAGTGCGTTCTGCAATTACTAGGCCATTCCGGCATCGAAACAGTTTTAATGTTTAAGTGGAATCACCTGCTCACCAGTGGCATAAAAGTAAGAGCTTTCGGCTAGGGACGTTCAGGACCTAACCTTACCTAAGGGAAGAATATAAACTTCCAAGTTGAATCCCCACCTGTCCTCACCATTCTCAATGTATTCTTCAGCCAGGTTTATGAAGACTGAATGAATATCAAGGATTCCTCTCTGAAAGGTAATACGTACACCTAATTTTTGTTTGTTTGTTTGTTTTAGGGTTACTGGTAAACTCTGGGGAATGCTGCTTTTAAGTATGTGCCTACATGTGTCAGAAAGTACATTAAATTTCGTGGTTTTGCAGCCACACATAGACCAAAGTCTAGAGGAGGCTTCTCAGATGTGCAGTGAGCATAAAAGTACATGGGGCTGTTATGTAAATTTCTTCACCACTAAACAGGTACAGTGGGGCACAGCTCTTCTGAGTGCCTCTGAATATCTGTTGCTGTCAGGAAGCAAACCTTTTCCTGATTCACTGCGTTCCTGAACTGGAAATGACCACAGCTTAACATTAACAGTGGTTATAATTGCCATGTCAATAGGAAAGAGAAGTAGTTTTGTGTCCAGATTAAACAAGGATTGAAAATACTTGTATTTCATAAGTGCAGCTTTATTTCAAAATTGGCAAAGTATTTAAAATATATATAATATATATTTTATAACATACTTTGCTACAGTTTTACCCTTGGTTTTAGCCTCATTGCTAAGCAGATGCAAATCGGAGAGCCACTCAAAGATTCTAAGATAGAGATGCTGTCTTGCTTACATCCTCTGAAGTTAGCTTGATGCCCTCAGATAAATAGGAATATTACAACAGCAAGTGGGATGAATAAGATTAGAAACAGTCAGCTCTTATTTTAATTTATGAAGGTAGAGAAGCCGCTGTTAAGGAAAGGCTTTTTAAAGATATCAAGTCATATCTAGTCAGATCACGAATTTTTTCTCAGTGGATTTGGAGGAATCAAACTACCACTGTTATTTTCCTAAGAATTAAAACAGCTACACAGAGATTTGATTTCACTGGGAGAGAGACGCTGGTCAAGGACTAAGCGGTTGGGGAAACATCTAAGGAAAGAAGTTTTTATTGCAATAAGAATTTTCTATTGCAATGTTGTGCTTTAACCAGTGAAATCTGAGCAAAGCAGACATAAGACAGAAGGCATCCACAAACTGAAATGTGATTTTCACAAAAGTGGGAATTTCCATGTTAAAAGCAAATCATTCTACCTCCAGTGTATATTTTAATACACTTCCCGGGACCCTGTGGAAAATGTCTGGTCTGCTCCCCAGCAACACGGTCAAAGAACTTGAATCGGATTGTCCTTGTGGTGTTCTTCCAGCAGCATACTTCTCACATGGGTAGCCAACACAAACCTTTTTTCTCCCCCTGGAATTAATTTCATGATGCCACAGATTCTGGGCTTAATTCAGATTAAAGTGGGTAGGGCCTAGACTCACAGCCCATGGTGGTTGGTTTAAACTAAAGCATGATCTCTAAAGGAAAAGGCATGGGTCTAAGATCATCTGGTAGGCAAAAATTGGAATCACCATAACGTGGGGAGTGTGGGCTGCTGGGGCCCTCTCAGACCCATGCTCTGATTCTGTCCCACGTCCCATTCGAGCAGCCCCTTTGGGGGATGCTGGGATAAGAACCAGGGTTGACACTGCTGGGAGAAAGGAATTTTCTGACCCTCGTGCCTACCAAATTAAAGTCGTAATGAGAGGGACTTAGGGATTATACATTTCTTATCTTAAAATTAAAATAGGAAAATGCTAAAAAGGAAGAAAATTTAAAGAGGCAAAATTTCACTCTGTGTTACAGAGCCTTAGTAATGACTGCAAGACATTTGAAAAACACAGTTAATACACTCAGAGTCCTCAGAGGCAAGTGTGGATGCTAATTCTCACTATAGAGAACAGAAATCACAATTGCCAGAGGTTAACTGATTCTCTTAGAGTCAACACAAGAATGTGTGACTAAGCTTACTATTAAAGATTGGCCCAGCTTCCCTGAATACTATGGACACAAACAGAAATGTAGACAGATCAGGCAAAAGGTCTGGTTTATAAATGTTCTGAGTGTCACACAGTCTAAATTCTAGGAGATTTAGAATGTATTCAGTTTATTTAAATATAATTTTAATTTTTAAGGTCAACATACTTACAAAGTATTTTTTTTAAATCTAAGATAACAAAGCTCAGGAATGTTGATAGTCATTCTGAATATTTAAAGTGCTGATGGACAAGGTATAATTTGGTGGGGGTGGACTGAGGTAATGAAGGGTTTCCAGAATTTTCTCCAAATATATGAGAACTAATCATCAATTTTAAGGACTTACAGAGTAACTGTTGTATCAGTAAGCTACTTTATCTAGAATTGTAATTAAAGATGCTGCTTTTAAAATGTTTATTCTTGGGACGCCTGGGTGGCTCACTCGGTTAAGCATTTGCCTTCAACTCAGGTCATGATCCCGGGGTCTTGGGATCGAGTCCCGCATCTAGCTCCCCGCTCGGCGGGAAGGCTGCTTCTCCCTTGGCCTGCCGTTCCCCCTGCTTGTGCACTCTCTCTCTCTGACAAATAAATAAATAAAATCTTTAAAAAAGAATAAAAAATAAAAGGTTTATTCTCAACAATACACATATGAAAGGCCGTCAGACTGCTGACCACAGACGACCCTACCAGCAGGAGACACATGGTGGGAAAGGAGTCTTACATTCTCAGTGGTAAACTCATACTACCTGTTAAGAAATGTACCTGATTTTACACACTAGAGACTGACTCTTTTTAATAAATTATGAATTTAAAAACTGCTGTTAATAAAGTAGTAAATGTGTCAGTCTGCACCTCTGGTCATTCGACCTCAAGACTAATCAATGTAAGTAGAAAATAAAATTTTGTAATAATAATCTCATCCCATCCCCAAAAATTATTTATTACTTGTGATTTAAATTGACACTAAAGTTACTGATTAGGGGGAAAAAGAGAGGCTTAAAGCTCAAAGAGAAAGAACTCATTTCTCCTGTTCTCAAGATTAAAGCAACAACAAAAAAGAGCAGCTTCGATTTACAGAATGGGTCGACTAATAAAAAAATTCAGATTAGTTACAAATTTCCTAAACCCTCACTTAAAGCAGGGAAGTTACTACTGTTCCTTTCAGATACTGTACACCTCATTACAAAACAAACAAACAAACAAACAAAAACCAACAAAAGCAAATATGAAAGGTATTGAAAAGAAGACTCAGCCATAATGTCAACATGACCCACTTATATCAACATGATCATTGTTAGAATCCGAATGTTCTCTAGGATTTTATGTTTAACTCCGTTTGGCTGGTGCAGAAGCTGAGGGATCCCCTACAGTCCCACAAGCCCCTGGTCTCTGTGCTGTCCAGGCAGGCGAGAGGGGGCCCAACGTGTCCACCACTCAGGGGAGCTGCCGCCCCAGATCCTCTTCTCTATTTTCCCTCTGCAAACAGAAATGACTATGAAGGGCTGGGCATCTCGTCTAAGTTCCCTCCTCCTCTAAAGAGAGCAAGTCTCTTAAATAAAGGACCTTGCTCCTTACAGAGGTCTGAGGCCACGGTTACTTATATAAAACAGAGTAGAAAAATTTCCCTGGTGAACCAAAAAATATCTATTTTCTAATACTTTTAATGCTTCATAAATCAGAAGTTTCTTTTGACCTGCGGCAACACTTATTAATAAGAGCCCCAAACTGCCCTAAATTTGAATCAATTTGGAAACCCCCAATAGCCAACCATGAATCTTCTACAACAAGTTTACAGGCCAAGAAAAGAAGCCTCAGTATGTCCATTAATAGCCTCATGAGTCCAAGGGTTAACCGAAGTCAGATTCTCGGGTGACACAAAGAATGTATCCTCAAGAATTTGAAAGCCCACCAAGGGTAGGCCTGTCTTCAAGATCAAGTTGATGCTGGGGCACTCAGTCGTTAAGCATCTGCCTTCGGCTCAGGTCATGATCCCAGAGTCCTGGGATCGAGTCCTACATTGGGCCCCCTGCTCCGTGGGAGACCTGCTTCTCCCTCTCCCACTCCCCCTGCTTGTGTTCTCTCTCGCTGTGTCTCTATCAAATAAATAAAATCTTTAAAAAAAAAAGATTAAAAAAATTAAAAAAAAAAAGATCAAGTTGATGCTTGCACCAGAAGTCAAAGACAGCTTGCACAGTCTGACGACTGGCATCATTACCACAAGGAGCTCTGGGTGGTGCGGTCACCATCACCGAATCCCTAGATTTTCCAAGGCACCATGATGCACCTGCAGTTACACCTTCAACTGCTAAGCAGCCCCCCCGCCCCCCCAAGAAGGGGAAGCAATTATGGAGCTGCAGGATACAGATGAGCTTTCACGGACGGACTCCTACAGCTCAGAGAAATCATAGGGGTCTGATGATTTCCAAACTATGTTTAGCAATAGGATACATTTTCCCCCAAAGAAAATGTTAGCTGGAAATCCAATATATGCTATAGACAAAGGAGAAACTGCTCTGGCAGATTCAAGGGGGCAAGAATGATCTGCAGTCTCCCCACTTGGCTTTCCCTTACCTCCCGTGCTGGCCACTGGAAAGACTTTGAGGGCTCTGAAGATGATTTGAATTTACTGCTCAAGTCCAACACCTGCAATCTGCAGAATGGGGAGCTCGGTCACAGACAGCCAGGTTCAAACGCCAGCTCTGCGGCTACCAGCTGTGAACGTGAGCTTAGGAAATTGTTTAACCTCTCTGGACTTTAGTTTCTCAGGGCATGGCAATAAAATATTTACCTCCAACCCTCCATGGTAAGCATTCAAGACGATGCATGGATAAGAAGTCCTCAATAAAAGGTTAACCGCTGCTAATTTTAAGGAGTTAGCCTCAGGGCACAGAACTAGTTAACAGCACAAGTAGGGATAATTGACCCCAAACCTCGTGCATTCCCTCCCTCTGCTCACAGGTCCCCTTCACCCACTCAATCTGCTCCTTCCAGGTTATGTTCACTCCGGTTGTGTCCCTTTAGTGGAGGAACTGGTCCCCAAACCAAAACCAAAACCCCAACGCACCCGGATTGGGGAGCAGGAAGGAAAATTACCTGCACTGAAATAACTACTGGAAGGGATGTCATCCCCTCCACTGAGAAAGAAACTTGCCGGCGAGTGCTACTTCTGGTTCATTTTTAAGGACCTTTCCTTGGCATTCTCATCAGCAAGCCTCTACCTCATCCCAAATCCTTCTCAGTTAATAGCAAGGAATTCTCCTGTCACCCTAACAGAATTTCTGCAGGTCCCCATCACTAACGTCTTTCTGTGATGTCATCTTCTTTCCCTCAGTAGCAGCTGCTGTTCCAAATCCTGTCTGTTCCCCCGACTGAGGAGCCAAGGGGATAGATCCAGCCTCACCCAAACGTCACAAATAACGCACAGAGGTCTGGAGTGGCCTTAACCTGTCTACATACGCTAACCTGCAGCAAATACGCAGACCACAGCCAGGTCGAAGAAGGCACATTTACAGGTAAGCCACACCAGAACCTCTCTACCCAAGCGCAGAGTAAAATGCTTCATGAACCTTGACCGACCCGGCGGCACAGAGCTGGGATTGTGTCCACGGGGACTTCTAAAGAAAATATAATAAACTGTAACAATTTGAACAATTTTAAAATTACTTCCATCCCTTCAGATTCTTTTATATGTAAAAACTCAACTAAATCTGCTCAGCAACCACATTCCACACATAGGAACCTGACAAAATTATATAAGCTGCCAAGGCTGACTTTGCCTTGGCATTTCGAACGGTGATTCTATTACGAAGGACACCGAAGGCAGGGCTTAGAGCACAGCTGTGACTTTTCAGTCTCTACAGGATGATTCATCACTGTCAATTAGTACTGGGCTTATAAAATACAGAATTCAAGATCTCTGTGATTTATGAGTGTATGTGAGTAGATAAGCAATGGATGGAGAAGAAAGCAGGAAAAAGCTTACACATTGGGGAATTAACTATGTGACTGGGAAATATGAGGTGTGATGCAATTAAGAAAATGTAATGGATACAGCTTCTCTTTTTTTTTAGGTACGAGCCTTTTCAAATGTCTGATCATAAATGGAGAATTTCGGCACTTAGGCTTGTGATATAATTATTTTTAATGTAAATAATTAATTGTAGTGTGCCACATATACATTAAAACATCAATCCCCTTCAGAAGTGTATCTAAGGCAAAGGGAGTCATTTCACTCCTCCCCTAACTTCCTATCACATGCCCAGATGAAAAGATTTCCTCATTTCCCGTCATGTATTCTTCGTGCATTCTGAGATGAAAGCAAGCTCCCTTGTGCGTCCAGGAAGATCTGCCAATTGCCTTCCAACGGCATTTCTAGTTTTCCACTAGAATACTCCTTCCTCACTTTTAACACGTCTCGTTAAGAAGTTCAATTGCTAACTAACCAACAGACTTTTTCTAGTAGCCAAAAGCTTAATGTACCTCTAGTCCCTGGTAAAATGCTATTAGACTACCCATCAGGATGGATGTGTATGTACACACACACACACACGCGCGCGCGCATGCACACAACCACGCATGCACCATTATACACGATGCAAACTTGAAAGTCACCTCCAATCTTAAAAAATTTTCAAAAATAGCCTAAGTAATATATTTTACTAAGCAGAGTTGAATGGGATACTGGCAAGAAAAATTATTTATTCCCTGTAACTCAATCTTCTCAGAAATTATGAACTGCTGATTAGTGTAAGGGGGGCACATTGCTAGGGGCATATTTCAGAAATTATGATACATTTTTCTCTGCATATTATGGTAATTTAATTTCCTTTTCCCTACTTTAAAAGAAAATTGTAATTACCAATCTTTACTCACAACACTTGGTTAAGGGCATTTCCATTTCATTTTGTATCACCATAAGCCAAAAAAATTTTCTGATGAGCTTAAAAAATATCACAGGGGATTAGGTCATAACTCACCAGTGCTTTCTCTAGCACAGGCACAAATAATTTATCTTCTGAAACTTGGTATGATAGTTTTGATTCACACATGGAAATCTTATTAGCCCATGATGGAGTCCAATTATTAAAAACAGTATGTGTATAGGAATTAAGTATTTGAAGCCAACAACGTATATGCAATATCAAAACATACACATGTAATATAGACACACACATTAACATTGTTGAAAGACATCTGGATTGATCACAAAGACATTTAGTCCATTATATAAATATTACACTCTTTTTAAACATGAATTTATAAGCTTTTCTTTGTTGATACAGTTCTGACGTAACGACGCTTTGATAATTCTCTCCTTGTCCTCAGATAAGATTAAAAATTGCATCACTAACCCCTTACTTTTGAAACTTAACAAGCTAAAAGATAGGAAAGGAGGGAGGGAGAAAGGGAGGAAGGGAGGAAGGAAGGAAGAAAGGAAGGAGGAAGAAAGGAAGGAAGGAAGGAGGAAGGAAGAAAAGAAGGAGGAAGGAAGGAAGGAAGGAAGGAAGAAGGAAGGAAGGAGGAAGGAGGAAGGAGGAAGGAAGAAGGAAGGAAGGAAGGAAGGAAGGAGGAAGGAAGGAAGGAAGGAAGGAG